CAAAAAACACCGACACGTTCTCCCGGTGCACATGATTTGAAATGGATTGGAATCCACAGTGTGAAGTTAGTTGTTCGTACTTCAATAGGAATATTATTTATCGGATTGACTCATTCGATTTTACAAACAAGGAAACAAAAAGTGCGCACGCACGCGCACAATCAATTAATCCAAACAAGGCTGAAACAAGTGCGTAGTGCGTTTTGCGGACCACAACAACAGTTCGTTGATTGCCTATGCAAGCGTATGGGTGCATTTGAACTAACACGATTGACTCACTCATATACATGTGCAGTATAACGTTAATCACAGACCAAATGATTGGAATTCAAACTTCACTAGTGGCCGGCATAAATCACTAAACGATTGCCTCGTTCTGTTCTTCCTAACAGTGTGCACTCCTGTCAGGAATCGGAAAAGCGAATGGGCAGCGAAAATTCAAGCATACATGCACTGGTGACCAGGAGGACCCGGGTCGACCATTTCAAGTTTGAATGGTGAAACTATCGCTTTGAAACGCGGGGGTGGATTCGCTTCCCTTCAGCGAGATTCAGTGGTCAATTAATCGCACTTTTTCTAACCCGTGATCCACCACTACCTGTTTTCCTACACTCTTTGTATGTTGAAATAAGGTACACCTTAGCCCTCACATCTTGTCGAGCTCGCTGATGGACATCGATTCTGAGGTGCTGAAGCCCTGTGATTTGCGAGAGACAGCTAAGCTGGACCGAATCCGATAAGCACGGTGACCCACTACAGCTAGGGCGCAGCTGGCCATTGTGACTTAGACATTAATGATAGCTCCAGCACCAAAATCTACTGCAGTAACTGGGATGAGAGACGAGTTCAGTGCTTACGGTGTACTCCGAGCGATGCACTTTTCATAACCTGGATCATGCGCTCATTCGAATACAAAAGTTGTTGAGAGGTTGCAATTATTGGGATGAACTCGGGTGACTGTGCTGTATTTTTCGTCAATGGCCTAGCAACCACAACTGTATAGTCATGCCTAAACTGTATCTCGTTCATTCCCAACTCATTATCCGATAAAATTGAACGAAACTGAACACAGTCGATTCGTTTGAACAAAAGAGATACATTCGAAGTTAAATCGGATACAGGTTTTCAGAAGAAGTACTACTGCTTAGAAAACACCCACAAACTGCATAACATTACAGCGGGCATTTTTCACAAGCTCGCGGCCAGTAAGCAGACTAAGCGAACGGTTAATGACCTTTAAGATTGAATTGTAGTAATCAGAAATGTAAGATGATTCGACGGAAATAAACATCGACCCTTTCTAAATTGGTGTTGTTCATAAAGGCAGTTACGTGCTAGTCATCAAAGTGAAACAATGTAACGTGTACACTGTACTCTTCTTTGAAGCTTCATTCACAAATGAAAAATTCACACACAAAAATGTTATGTTAATGGATTGTGTGTAGAAAAAATACAGCATGCAATGCGTATCATAGAAATCCAAACATATTTAACTGAAAAGTAAACTGAAACTCACCGTGGCTTCATTCTGTTTCAACTGAACTTCTTCCGCAGAGGTGCCCTTGCGTATTTGCCATACCGGATCCGGTGCCTCGTAACCAGGGTAACCGAGTGTGGGTGAAGGCAAAACAAATTCGATTACCGGTGGGGGAAGACGCAACTGATTTGGTGCACCCTCATCCAGTCGGGACCAAACATGATAACGATGAGTCCACAAGGCCCGAAATCTGGATGAATCAAAAAAGGTAGAAAAGACGGATTGGTAAGAGTATCAGTTCATCCTCTACACGAGCGTACGATGTCAGTGTGCATTACTTTGTAAGAAAAGCTTTGCATTAGTTCGTACCAAGTATGACAAATACTACTGATGTTATGCTCGCTAGCTATTAAATTAGCTGAAAACAAAGAATAACTTTTTTGATATGATGAACTTCGTCGTGCACACAGAAAATGAAGCGTGGACTGAAAGACTGGAAAGCACTGGACAGCTGTTTCGATCTGGTTGGGTCTCATCAACATTGCGAATCCACCGAGCTGACTGAAAATCGAACCCAGGGACCTCACAGACGGAAGACAAGCGTACTACACATTTGACTTTCATTATACATTTTATAGTAGAAGTCACCTTTGCCAGTTTAATGCAGGCAATGCACCTTGCGTATCTCAGCGTTCAATAAATAGACACATCAGCCCAACTATGCACAATCACGATCGACAGCGCGTCATGATTAACACAACCGGTTCCATGCCAATGAATAAACACCACTGAATTTCTCTCCTGTTTCTATTGTGCTGTGGTGACTGTGCATCGAGGTTGGACGGTACAACACACACCATTATCATCGAAAACATGACTACGGGCGGGACTTTATAAGAGCTGGACTTACCTCAAAATGGCATTGAGTCTCTGGCTGGGGACTTCATGCTGCATGTCTGCCAGCAGGATATCTTGTACGGTTGAAGCGGATCGTACACCACAGAACAGGATAAAACACGCTGAAGTGAACAGGCATTATGAAACGGGGTTGGGATTAGGGAGAATGAAACACCCACGTTAAGACAAAGACGTCGAGTTCATAGGTACATTGAATTACTCGTGTTACGAAGGGAAGCGAACATGGTACATGGAGGATGGGCAGACGAATTCGCCTCGTTGCCAATGTGATAAGCAAAAGCGTGTGAACCGGTCTTGATAGTCAACTGCAAACCCTGTACAGTGAATGAATGCACTGTTTCGGTCCCCTTCTCAGTGAGATTTGTTCAGTTCGGAGTGAAATCACTACAGTTTCTGATGCTCCGGATGCGAACTGTTGTCTAATCGTAACAATCAACCGGTCATTGATAAAGATTTGAGGCAATCGGCCAGGTATCGGTTGTCAATCGTGCTGACTGGGCACATCCATTTTTACCGCTGATCCACCCGATAGACCCCTGACTTTCTGTCGGATCCGTATTGGAGAAGTGAAAAATAAAGCCAATGCTGTTCAAGTGTGAGCATGCCGGGTCTAATTTCCGCTATTTTTCAGTGCTGTAAAACCTTCTTTGATGGTTAGACCGTGGGCGGTGTTAGGGTTTGAGAATTACGTGAGAGATAAGAGTAAATATTAAATACATCTAGAGTCAGTAAACTGTACCCCCCACCCCATTTTCATTAAGTCAATCTAGTTTAAAATACTTGATTGATGCAGGGAAAATATGAATGCAAAATACATTTGTTGGTGTTAGTGTGTTCTTCGAATTACAGTTACTCCACATTACACCCATCAGTAAATTTACGTTATGCCTGTTGTGAGTAAAATAATTGGCATACTTCGTATCTTCAGCCGCAATTATTTCTCCATAATTTGGATGATAATTTCTATCAATAAATTTGTGAACTTGATGGCCATCTCGTTTCTCGGTCTGACCAAAGCACTTCTCATCCTGTGTAGGTTAGGAAATAATCGTCCTTTCTAATCTTTCTATCCAAACAATCCCTCATATGTTTCATAGGGTTGAGGCCTCATGAGTGCGCTCGGACATAGCCAGATCTGTACATGAATAGTTCTGAATTGAAAATATATATTCTCTGACCAGGAGAAAATGCGGAGGACGCTGAATTGTGATCGACTGATGATGTGATTGACACTACTAGCTCTCGTGGAGTAAGGTAATATTCTTCAACGCAACCATTTCACTGCAAAGTTTTAGAGTCACCTTTTCTCTCCATTCATGTTTCACACTAAACGTGTAGTGATCTGACGTTAATCCAAACACCAGAGATAAATCTAGCCAGGAATTTGCGCCAAAGTTCTACAACGACCAATATGGAGCCACCAATTCGGACCAATCGAATTTGCCTAGGCAGATTCAGGAAAACTACAAAGGCAAAATTGATATATAATCTATTCGCTCTCTCAACAAGTGACCAAGCACCTTTCTGATCTTCTTTCTGAATCTCGGCATATAGAAACTCTGGTAGCCGATTGCGAGTGCTGTCGCGATTGTGATTACTAGCTTGCTAGTATTCCGAGTACCACACTTATCCTTAGCCAACTTCACAAACTGGTATATTAGACATGACAGATTCGTATTGCAAAAACATCTAATAGTGAACCAGAGAACGCAATGTGATATCAGTTTCTTCACTGTGAACCATTGTACATACGAGAAACCATTAGGCTCAATATTCCCCTACTCATTTTGAACAATCGGATAGACAGCGAATGATCTATCCCATATCTTGGTGTCATCTTTTAGCATAACTTCGTATCAAAATTTTATTTCGGAGGATTAACATCCTCATGTCACACGTTCTACGCCTGAAGTTAACCTTTATTCGTATTCACCTCATAAAGCTTAGTTTCGGCTTGCGTTTGCTTTGTTGGCCACATGCTTCTTCCGTTCTCTTTCATGGCCTGTTCAATAAGATGTTCGAACTCATCTAC